TTGCCTATGCCTGTTCTAGAATCCTAGAGCTGGAAGAGACCCCCAAGGGCCATCCAGTCCAACCCCCTGCGATGCAAGAAGGCACAATCAAAGCACTCCCGATCGACAGCCTCTGTGGAAAAGCCACCAGAGAAGGAGACTCCACCACACTCCCAGGCAACCTATGCCACTTTCCAGGAAGTTCTTTCTAAGCTTTTCAGTCGAATTGTTTCCCCTGCCATTTGAACTCATTGCTTCTTTGTGCCCTGGTCTCTAGAGCAGCAGAAAGACAGTTCCCCCCCCCCCCTCCTCAATGGGACATCCTTTGAAATCTTGAAACATGGTTCTGCTGTTCCCTCTCTACCTTCTCTTCTCCCAGCTAAACATCCCCCAGGAGGAAGGAAAAAGTAACAAGGAAGGAAGAAAGGAAGAGAAGGATGGAAAGAAGGAAAGGTGGAAGGTAATGGAGGGGAGGGAGGGAGGAAAGAGAGAGCAGGAAAGACAAAAAGGAAGGAAGGAAGGGAGGGAGGGAGGGAGGGAGGGAGGGAGGGAGGGAGGGAGGAAAGAGGGAAGAAGGATGAAAAGGTGGAAGGGAATGGAGGGAGGGTGGAAGAGGGAGGAAAGAGAGAAGGAAGGAAAGATAAAGGGGAAGGAAGGTTGAAAGGAAGGAGGGAGAGAAGGAAGAAGGGAGGAAAGAGGGAGGGAAGTGAGGGAGGGAAGGAAGAAGGGAAGAGAGAAGGAAAGGAGGATAGGATGATGAGAGAGAGGAAGGCCTAAGAAAAGAGCTCAAAGGGCCACATCCGGTCCCTGAGCTTGGGTTTGCCCATACTTGCTGTAGCTACATTTATATATTTGAAGGGGTGCCACACAAACTAGTGCTACTCTAAATGGTGAAGCCACTGGCTGCTAGTCCCTGGTACATTTCCAGGGGGGAAAGGAGCCAATTGCCAGAAATATGGTGCTGGTGTCAGGCAAGTTGGAAAAATTAAATAAATTATGGTCTCCCACATCAGAGAGCCCGGGAAGCACTGATGTAGAACATAGCGGACAGTTGTTTTCTCCTGTTCCAGAGACTAGAATTGTTTTGTGGATGTTCAGTCTGCCTTTCAGAAGACATAGTCTAGGGCAGTAATTCCCAAACTTCAGTCCACCAGAAAGTTTAGACTTCAGCTCCCAGGATTCTTGTTAGTCAAATCAAGTAGTTAAAAGGAGGACCGACATTTGGGAATCACAGGTTGAGAAGACACTGAATCATCCAGACATTCAGAACTACAATGCTCCTAAGACCCAGCTCACATGGGTCAGGGATGATGGGGCCTACAGTCCAACACACTGGAAGAACACGAAGTAATCTGTCCCTAATATAATGAACATTAAAAAGAACTCACAGAAGATATTTACGAGGAGATGATACTCAGGTGCAGCCAAATGCCTGGCCCACTTGAGAAGTTTACACCTCTGGCCAGATCTCTTATCTATATTTTAATTTCCTGGTTGACAGAGTGTTAATTTTTTTTAAAAAGAAAAGAAAAGAAAGAAATCTCACCAGATGTGATCAGAGAATATGAACCTCCACACCCTTTTATTATACAGCCTGCTGGATATTATTTTAACTTTTATCTACAAAGCAAGACGGACAAGCATTCACAAAAGCTGTTTCACCACTGAAATGTTGCTATAGCAATTCCCAATAAAGCATGGAGTGTGTTCTTTGGGAAAGAAAGCATGTTCTTACTTTTAATCACAAAACACCAAAACGAAATGTACTAGATCACAGAAGAGAATCAATCATTTGCTCTCGTTTTCATAAATCATTGTTTGTAACACTTTCCCCCCATTCTGAAAACTTTACAACAGAAATTGAGTTAACCTAAAGCTGCAACTGTGCATATTAACCAGGACATAAAGTTCCACTGAACCAAAAAATAAAGTCACAGCAGTTTTCACTATAGATGGTTTTCTTTGCCTAGTTCCCCTGCCTATTCACTCATTCCCATTAAGGCAAAAATACATACAGTTTGAAAGAAATATTCTAAATTTCCTTTTTGGCTTTTAAAAGTCCTTTTACTCAAAAGTTGTGAGAACACAAAGAGATCGGACTGAGATTGCCTTTTCAGAAGACAGCTAAAAAAAAGACCAAACAATGTGTTAGAGAGCTAGATGTGAGATTTTATGGGATTGTCTTAAATTCATAGGTTTTTTTAAAAAAAAATTCTGAGACCTCACAGTTGGATTTCAACATCTTAAATGTCCCATTGGGGTCTGAGTAAAGCTTCCCATGATCTTGACCTTTTTCATGATAAAAGGATGGTACTGTTACAAAGATCACACACACACCTGGCTGCAATGTCATGCCCAACATTCAAACGAAAAGCAGTTTTGAAAGCGAATAAGCATCCTTCCACTCATTTGCATGAGAGAACACCCTATTGAAATCAATGGGTATTACTTCTTAGTAGGCATTAAAGCAGTGGTTCTCAACCTTCCTGATGCCATGACCCTTTAATACAGTTCCTCATGTTGTGGTGGCCTCCAACCATAAAATTATTTTCATTGCTACTTCATAACTGTAATTTTGCTACTGTTATGAATTGTAAACTAAGTATCTGATATGCATGTTGTATTTTCATTCATTGAACCAAATTTGGAACAAATATCTGATATGCCCAAATTTGAATACTGGTGGGTTGAGGGGGAATGATTTTGTCATTTGGGAGTTGTAGTTTCTGGGATTTATAGTTAACCTACAATCAAAGAGCATTCTGCACTCCATCAATGATGGAACTGAACCAGTCTTGGCACACAGAACTCCCATGACCAATGGAAAATACTGGAAGGGTTTGGTAGGCACTGACCTTGAGTTTTAGAGTTGTAGTTTACCTACATCCAGAGAGTACTGTGGACTCAAGCAATGATAGATCTGGAGCAAACTTGACACGAATACTCAACATGCCCAAATGTGAACACTGGTGGAGTTTGGGGAAAATAGACCCTGACATCTGGGAGTTGCAGTTGCTGGGATTTATAGTTCGTCTACAATCAAAGAGCACTCTGAACCCCACCAACTATAGAATTGGGCCAAACTTCCCACACAGAACCCCCATGACCAACAGAAAATACTGTATTTTCTGATGGTCTTTGGCACCCCCCTCATGACTCCCCCCCCCCAGGGTTCTGACCCCCAGGTTAAGAAACATTGCTTTAAAGGGTCATGGTGTGTGTTTGTTCCCTTTAAAGTCAACATGACACTAGTTTACACTGAATCATCTACAGGATGTAGCACAAGACTAGGTATAGGGGTCATGTGGCCCTTCCAATGTTTTTGGATTGCAATGCCTAACATCCCTGACCATTGGCTATGCTGGGAGGGTCTGCATGGAGGTGTGAGGCAAAACATCCTTAGGGCTAATTTCGCCACCTCAAATCTAGACCCCATTATTCCAACTATATATGGCTTACTCAAGGGAAAAATTACAATTTACAGTTACCAAACCAGTTAAACCCAGTTGAAACTTATTTTAAAACAGTGGTTCTCAACCTGTGGGTCCCCAGATGTTTTGGCCTTCAACTCCCAGAAATCCTAACAGTTGGTAAACCGGATGGGATTTCTGGGAGTTGTAAACCAAAACATGTGGGGACCCACTGATTGAGACCCACTTTTTTAAGAGATAGTTTGGATCAGTCTCTGAATAACACAGAACCAGAGTCTCACATATTCCTGCAGGAAAGAAGATGGGAACTGCAGTCTCAGACAATTTGAAGAGTGTCACATTGCAGTAGGTTGGATAAGAGGGAGTAAGGAAGTATTTAAAACAATGTTTGAACATAAGGACTATAACTCAGTCCCATACATGTCCAGCACTAAAACAGAAGATTTGGAGGGGCCCAAAAGCATGATGGGGCTGTGGGATTTGTCACCGTTTCCCAGTATTCTGCTGATCAGTCTTGATGGACAGCGTCAACTGTTGGTTATAAGAAACAGCCATGGGGTTATATCACAACAGAATAAAATAGACTACAAAAAAGAACCTGAGACCTCTTTGCAGAGTTGACAACAGCCACACTATTAAATGAGATGATTCAAGCAAACTTGGATCCGTCTCCTGTCCTTCCCCCCCCCCCCCCCCCCCCCCCCACACACTTTTATAACATGTATTTATCACATTTTGGACTGCCCAATAGCAAACTTATTTGGGAGTTGTATTTTGAAAACATGAATGTTAAAACTGCAGTTAGGAAAGGTAAACAGCAAAAGCAGCAGAGTCAAAAAAGTACCCACCAAACAACAGATCATGGCAAAGCAGAGAGTTTGAATTGGCAAAGAAAATGAAAAGAGTGCAACAGTTACATCCCAAAAAGACAGGAAGTTGCCAGTGTGAAGGCTCTTTGAAAAAGCAAATCAATCAATCAGATTTTACAGTCGGAAGATATTTTGTTAGCAAAAGCAAAGAAACAATTGCAGTTTACACAAGAGCCTATTCCTGCCGGAGTAGAGTCCCCGCAAGGGGCGGCAGGCATAAAACTTAGGTTGGAATTGCTTGTTTTGCCTTTTCAGAGATAAGGAGGATTAAGCACAGAAGCTTCTTAAAGAAGAATGCAATCCAGGAATTAATGGGGCTTGGCAACCAATTCTGCTAAAGTATCAACCACTGTCAAGGGACCTGGCCATTCTGCTGTTTTTCTTTTCCTTCGCTGGAACACATTCCTTCCTGGATTGCACCATAGGCAGGTGTCAAACACTTCCCTTTCCACCTTAAAACAGGGGACAGCTTGTTTAAAACCAAGCAGAACTCTTGCTCTTTTATAGTGGACGTGTTCTAAAAGATCCCCCATTCTCCTCATCCACGGATTTGCTTTGTGATTGCATGCAAAAACAAGAAACAAAGCTGAATAGGAGAAATGACTACAGTCTCCCTTGCCTTCTAATATAGAGACATTCAATAAATAATACATAAACTAAAAATAAAGCATTGTACACAGCTTCACAGATCTACCCAAGGAACAAATGCATAAAAATGTACCTTTCTGAGTCAACTGGGACGGTCTGTGGTCCTTTGGTCAGGTTGGAGGGATATGGATTTTGCAGATGTCCTACAGTTGCCTCAGTCTCATTTGATCACACTACACTGAGGGCTTACAGGTTCCAAGTGCCACAGCTTCTAAAAGGAGCCGCGTTCTCCTTCTTCCCGCCCCTTTTCTCCTCCTCTTTCCTGCCCACTCAATTCCACCAGAAGCATGTCTTATAAGACAGGGCTCAGCATTTCTCCTGCAGCACATAAACTTCTTGTTACTTGGTTACCGGAGCTAGGGAGCCCAGGTCAAGGGGCTTTTATAAAGCCAAAGTGGAATTGCATCAGGATCAAACCCTGGCTCAGCCAGCTGGAGGCAGGGAAGCAGATAGCTAGTGTACCGGAGGAGGTGGGTTTGACTCCTGCTAAACATTTCCCCAGAACATGCCACCCCAAAGACCTGGGCCAGCCTGCTACAGACTATACAATGGGCCCTCCATATCTGTTGTAATCTGGTCCCAGGATCTCCAATGGAAACCAAAATCCAGGGATGCTCAAGTCCCATTATATGCAATGATGGGAAAAGACGATGTCCCTACCAACATGATATTTGTAATATATGTAGGTATACATTACGGCATGCATGTGAACAGTTGTTTTAAACCAAGTACAAAGTGCAAAGATCATGCTGCTAGCAGAATGTGCAGAGTTGCACACATCAGACAGTGGCTACAGAGAGTAGGCTGTAAATGTACAATGTCTTTACACCCCATGCATTTCATGTATACAATGGGTTACCAGTCACATACACTGAGCACTGATCTGCCTCTGTTGCACTCTGTCAGTATTCAGCATAGAAGTTCCATAATGTGGCTCCACCAGCTATGCTGAAGCAATGAAAATTCCCTAAGTAGACCGGGTAAATGAGTGTAACAAACCACCCGGTTGAGATACAGACAAGCTCATATAGGCTTTAAGAGTGGCTAGCTGAAGGGCAGACCTGCAAACCTTTGGCACCCCCACCCCAGCAACATCCTTCACACTGAACTTACAGAGAAGCCCCCTTTTAGATGTGAACCTCTACATACAAAAGGTCGGAAATGAAGGTGGCACAGGTTAGCCTTCCATGCACTCACCCGCACTTTGATGCTCACAACAGTTATGTGCTATAAATTAGGCTGAAAGGTAGCAAAGGGTACATTCAAATATAAACTATACAGTATATACTCCCACATATGAAAATATAAATATATAGACAAGGAAGTTGGAAAACAATTTGACCTTAGTGAGAAAGGTTAAACTAGTATAGACCTGTTTCGCCAACCTGGTGCTTTCCAGATGTAATGGGCTACATCTTATATCATAACCCACATGTGTCAAATTCAATGTCCATGGGCCAAATTCAGCCCGCCAAGTCATTATATGTGGCCCACAATGCTTTCAATGCCAGGGCAACATAGTTACATTTACACAGTCTTACAATTACAAACAGCCCTTTGAAGGCAACCATAAGGCTGATGTGGCTGTCAGTGAAAATGAGTTCGACACTGTAAGACCCGTCGCAAACTCTGTTCCTGCAGGAGCAAACCTTGCTAGCATGTCCCTGACGTCATGAGACTCCGCCTCTCGCCCCGCCCCTTTCTCCGCCTCTTTCTCCTTGCGAGAGTGGTTTTTCCTTTGCTAGGGCAGCACTGCCCGCATACTCTCTCAGTTGGCAGGATTCAACTGAGAGAAAATGCGGGCAATGCTGCCCTAGCAAAGGAAAAACCACGCTGGCAAAGAGAAAGGGGCGGAGAAAGGGGCAGGGCGAGAGGCACAGGCTCATGACGTCAGGGACGTGCTAGCAAGGTTTGCTCCCGCAGGAACAGAGTTTGCGACGGCTCTTAGATATCCAAACCATTTGATGCAACCCTTGTTTACGTTCAGATCTTAAATGAGTGACTTTGTGGACCCTAACTCACAGAAATCCCAGGGAGTGTGGGCCACTGTTCATGATGGACTGAGGATTTGGAAGTTGTCATCTTTAAAAATGCAAAAAAAAAATGTTTCAACAGGTCAAACTTTCCCCATAATGGCATCCTAACAATGGGCACGACTGCATTTGAATTCTCTCTGTGGTTTCTTATTTCACCATCCATGGAGAGTTAAACCCTACATGCAGCTTATGTGTATGCTTTAAGGAGCAGCTGCAGGTGAGTCTGTGCAACATTGGGGCTGCAGAAGGTAGGGAAGAACAACTGAAACCTCTTCCTCCTGAACACGGACACACAAACAGACAGAGAGAGAAGCCTCCATTGGCATCAGTGAACATTTCCCTACCAATGGAAAGAGCAGCTAAAATTGCTTGGGGGAGATTATTCATCAGAGATAGCATACGAGAGATTGGATTAAAATTTCCTTTCTTACCCAAAACTATGCAGGTTTTCTTGTGGAAACCACAACTATTCCTCTTATTTCTCCTCCTTCCTCTCTTCTTTGTCTTCTTCTTCTCCTTCACCACAAGTTAGATCAATGAATTTTTGGTGAGCAATGCAATTATCCTGTAATTTCTGAACAGGCTTAATCTGTGTAAATATCGTTTCACTTTCACTTGATGCCAAAGTCCAACGTGGTGTACAGAGACAATTTCTGGGTTTTTTCTGTGCAGTTTCTAGATTTTTCCTGGCCACCATGTGTTTTGGGAGTTATAGCCCCCAAAGAAAAGTTTTGAAGTTGACCAAAGTTGACATTTGAAATGAGTCTGAACAGCAGTGCAGGTGTGACAATCTGCATTAGATGGTCCAAACAAAAATGTGCCAGTTGCTCTTAATCCCATGTTACCATTGTTTTACAGTTTCAGGGGGTGAATAGTCTGCTCCCAGGCCATTAACATGGTTTGGCACCACTTGAACGGCCATGGCCCAATGATATGGAATCATGGAGCTGCAATTTCGCAAAGTCTTTCAGTACTCTGCCAAAGCATGCTGGTGCCTCACCACACAACAACTCCCAGGATCCCATAGCACTGAGCCAGGGCAGTTCAAGCATTAATTGTACAGTGCAGCTGCCCCTAAAAGGTAGAGCAGTAGACTTTTTTGAGGTCAATCAAGCATCACAGCCTAGACCTGTGGTTCCCAGCCTGTGGTCAATGGACCACCAGTAGTCTGCAAAAACTAAAATATGGTCCGCGGCCTCATCATTTTTACACTGTTGCAACAAGAGCAACTGGTCTCACAAAACCCTCTTACAGTGCCGAGGGTTATTAAATATGGTTCTTGTGGGTTTTTTCGGGCTATAGGGCCATGTTCTAGAGGCATTTCTCCTGACGTTTCGCCTGCATCTATGGCAAGCATCCTCAGAGGTAGTGAGGTCTGTTGGAAATAGGACAATGGGTTTATATATCTGTGGAATGGCTGGGGTGGGGCAAAGAGCTCTTCTCTGCTAGAGCTAGGTGTGAATGTTTCAACTGACCACCTTCATTAGCATTTGAAGGCCTGCCTGAGCCTGGGAAAATCTTTTGTTGAGAGGTGTTAAGATGTGCCTGGTTGTTTTAACACCTCTCAACAAAAGATTTTCCCAGGCTCAGGCAGGCCTTCAAATGCTAATGAAGGTGGTCAGTTGAAACATTCACACCTAGCTCTAGCAGAGAAGAGCTCTTTGCCCCACCCCAGCCATTCCACAGATATATAAACCCATTGTCCTATTTCCAACAGACCTCACTACCTCTGAGGATGCTTGCCATAGATGCAGGCGAAACGTCAGGAGAAATGCCTCTAGAACATGGCCCTATAGCCCGAAAAAACCCACAAGAACCTAGTGATTCCAGCCATGAAAGCCTTTGACAATACGTTATTAAATATGGTTTTCTGTGGGCAAGCAGATGGCGACTACTGGATGGCATATGTTCTGTATCAGAAACTAGAGCTGATGTGGTCTACCCAATGCAATCAGCACCCCAAATAATCAAACCAAATCTAAAGTTGACCAAAAACTGATTTGTAACCCTTTTGGAACTAATGTTGGAGAGTGGTCCCTGGTCAATAAAGGTTGGGAACTACTGTCCTAGACATTGTAACTATAAGCAGCAGATTACCAACTAACATCAATTGCCTAGCCATAGAAACTTGTCTACTTAAACAACAGCGCAACATCCCCCACTGCACCTGGTCTCCTGGCCTTCCTGATTTCATTAAGGGCAAACAACGTAGTCATTTCTGGAGCAGAATTGGATGTGTTTCCCCAGATGAAAGCAAATATTGGACTTAAATGAAAACAATATTGATTTTTCAAAAAGGGAATGTACCCAGAGGAGGACAACTAAAATGATCAAAGGTCTGGAGACCATGCTCTATGAGGAGCGTCTTAAAGAGCTGGGTATGTTTAGCCTGCAGAAGAGAAGATTGAGAGGAGACATGAGAGCCATATATAAGTATTTTAAAAGTTGTCCTAAGGAAGAAGGAGAAGGCTTGTTTTCTGCTGGCCTGGAATTTAGGACTCATTGGAGCCATGGGTTCAAATAGCAGAAAAGTAGCCTCCACCTGAACATTAGGAAGAGCTTCCAGGCGGTAAGAACAGCTGTTGAACAGTGGAACTCTCTGCCTCAGAGTCTAGTGGAAGCTCCTTCCTTGGAGGCTTTAAAAAGGAGGCTGGATGACCATCTGTCAGGGATACTTTGCACGTTTCCAGGAGGGCAGAAGGGGGCTCGACTAGATGGCCCATACGGTCTCTTCCAACTCGATTCTATTACTTGCTACACAGTTTTCCTTTTTTCCAACTGCCTTCCAATGTATGAGCATAACCATTTCTTTCCAATAAGTCATAGCATCTCTGGACATGTCCAAAGAATGATAGCCTCTGGTTAGTCATCTTGGCTTCCAGGGAGAGTTCAGAGTTGTTTGATCTTGGACCCTTTTATCTGTCTTTTTGGCAGTCCACAGTACCAATGGAACTCTTCTTCAACACCACATCTCAAATGAATTGATTTTCTTCTTATCCATTTCTTTCACTGTCTACCGTTCACAACTGTTCATAGAAATGGGGAATATTGACACTGTGGTTCATCCTAGCTTCGGTACGGAGCAATTGGGAATTCATGACAAGGTGGATTCTTGATCATTTGCTAGATGAAAAAAAAATTATGCTTGTTGGACAAATTCAGGACCTTTGGTAGCTGCCTTAAATTTTCCATTGGTTCCT